TGTTAAAAACACAATTAATGTATTCGACTTCATAAAATAAATAAAATAAAACACATGTATTAAACGATAACGTTTTCTTGATTAGTCAATAAGTCATTCTTTCGGTGTGAGACAATTTGTAGTTGTAAGGTGCTAACCTAACGCATATAAAATGATTTACAGTAGATAGCCTTAACTAAAGAAGAAATATAGGCTTAACAAGTAATTAAATAAACTTTATCATATATAACTCATTAATTTTTCTATTGTATCCATTATATTAGCTGCTTAAGTAGTTGATTTTTGTCACGGGGAACTTTTTTATTAGCTAGGCTGCGTTTGCGTGCGGTGACATTACGTAGCTCGTTGCACATTAAAAGAAAAGCCTTTATTTATAAAAGGTTTGCTTACATTGATAAGAAAGCTATATAAAACAATTAATATATAGGATCAATGGAACATCTTCACTTTTAAGTTTTGCAGATAACGCTCAGTATGAATAATCGTTCACAGTCTGTTAAATAATAAATAAAATAATAAGAAATATTGATATGACACTGCTAAACTTAAAAAATCGAGAAAATTCTATGTAGATCCCATTGAATAAAATAAAATTATTTAATATATATATATATATATACATTTATCTTAAAATAATGGGACCCACTCCAATCAAGTCCACTCTGCACCTTGAATTAGAATATTAGAATACTGTAGAGACCTTGAGTGGGGATCCATATATATGTCATATACAAATCATCATCATCATCAAAGCCTTACCCTAATTATATATTCAACTAGATAAATAAATCCTGTTTTGTCAATCTATTTTTTTAAAGCCATATCCATTGTTAAATCATTGATGTTTAAATCTTTTTTATGACTTTCACCCAAGTCCTCCTTGGTCTATTCTTGCTCTTTTATCCCCTTTAACTTGCAACAAGTCACTTCCTATATTTATTGATGATACTCTACACACCTGACCAAAACATCTAAGAATGGTTTTCAAAACCGGACCAGACCGAACGATCGGACTAAAAAAACTGGGAACAATCAGCCATCCATTCGATTTGAACAATCAGACCATTTGACCTAAGAATTGAACCCTTGACCGATTCATTATCCGATTCGATTTTAAAAACCTTGCATCTAAATTTGTTACTTTCTGTTTATCACATATCGGTGCTATTCTTATGTTCCTATGAATCTTCATTATGTGGTCCTATCTTTTATAGTTTTCCACTAATATATACATTTTGTCAAACTCAATTTTGTAGTGTGTGCATATCAACTCTTTGTATTAGTATTAAAAAAAAAAGCTTGCTTGTCGACATTAATTTTTTATAAAATTCATTATTGTTTTTGGCATTATACCAAGACTTGTTATTTTTGTTTCAACTTAATTTGCAGCTTTTGCAATCGAGATTCAAATAATAAATTAGTTTAATTTAAAGCTTGAATGGTTAATCATATAAGAGACTGATCTTTCTGTCATCAGATCTCTTGAGCGTGTGTTAAATATAAACAAATTGGCCTGTAATGAATGCATAGATGTTTGCCAATTAACTAAGGTGGGGTTTGGTTTTATTGCTGTTTTCATGTGGGAGTTACAACAGATTTTGAGAAAACAATAAAAAAACACATCCGTATATGTTGTTTATATAGTTAGTCGTTTTCTCAGAATAAGGACCAAAAAAAAATGTTTTGTCAACAACATCATGCGTAAATGTTTTATCAGAAATCGCAAAAAACAAATGGAACCAGACACCTCCTTATTATGACTGATTTTTTTAACCATATTTTATATATGATTATTTTTTGAACCATAATAATAATTAACAATAACAACAACAACAACAATAATAATAATAATAATAATAATAATATCATTTTGTCTATTTACATTTCCAATTTTTTGAGTGATTAAGGCTGTGTTTGGTAACGATGCAAATATGTGTGAATGCAAATATGTACAGTGCAAAATGGTTTATATAAATTGTAAAATTGGGTTAGTTTTGCATTGACGAATTTACCTTCTTACTAAATAGACTTTTAGCTATAATGGATGCAAACATGAATTCTAATAAAGCATACACTTTTTTTTTTTTTATCAAAAACCCACTTGAATGCAAATTTACTTCTTTTTTATTGATGTACTTTTACATCTTATTATCAATGTAAATATGCATTGATCTTTCATTTGTCAATACAAAAATGCAATATTGCCAAACACAAGCAAAAGTGAACAAGAGTAGAAATTCACCCTGAACCGGGATTTACACTCCATTTGAATCGTTTCCAAACACAGCCTAAGGTGCAATTTAAGATCACAAATACAACTTAATTGGATAAGAAGTCAAATAATTTATTTATAGTTTGAATAAAAAGAAAAGAAGGGAACTGAGTGAGTCACTTGTCATGCGCAGGAAGCTGAAAATTTTCCCTGAATCTGTTCACCAAAATCCACTTAAAATAAGAAGTATGTTTTGGTGTAAAGAAGTACAAGTGGCAAGCATCTTACCTTCGTGAATCAATTAAATAAGACCACAACCGCATTATCACAAAAATTAATAATAAAAATAAAATAAAATAACAGCCATATTGTTATTGACCCGTTACATAACCATCTTTTTTATTCAGTTATAAAATCATGTATTGAACTCGGACCGGATTAAAGACCGGGAAGTTCATTGGGTCACGGTTTTAGCGGTTTAACCGTCACTTAAGAGTGTAAATTTGTAACTGTTCATTAATTGTTCATCCAGAAAGAATCACCAGAGA